ATGAAAAAATTACTTTAGAAAAATCCACGCCTCTTATGAAAAAATTACTTTAGAAAAATCCACGCCTCTTATGAAAAAATTACTTTAGAAAAATCCACGCCTCTTATGAAAAAATTACTTTAGAAAAATCCACGCCTCTTATGAAAAAATTACTTTAGAAAAATCCACGCCTCTTATGAAAAAATTACTTTGAAAAAATTACTTTAGAAAAATCCACGCCTCTTATGAAAAAATTACTTTAGAAAAATCCACGCCTCCTTTAGAAAAATCCGCGCCTCTTATGAAAAAATTACTTTAGAAAAATCCACGCCTCTTTTGAAAAAATTAGTTTAGAAAAATCCACGCCTCTTATGAAAAAATTACTTTAGAAAAATCCACGCCTCTTATGAAAAAATTACTTTAGAAAAATCCACGCCTCTTATGAAAAAATTAGTTTAGAAAATTCCACGCCTCTTATGGAAAAATTAGTTTATAAAAATCAACGCCTCTTATAGACCTTGAAAAAATTAGTTTAGAAAAATCCACGCCTCTTATGAAAAAATTAGTTTAGAAAAATCCACGCCTCTTATGAAAAAATTACTTTAGAAAAATCCACGCCTCTTATGAAAAAATTAGTTTAGAAAATTCCACGCCTCTTATGGAAAAATTAGTTTAGAAAAATCAACGCCTCTTATAGACCTTGAAAAAATTAGTTTAGAAAAATCCACGCCTCTTATGAAAAAATTAGTTTAGAAAAATCCACGCCTCTTATGAAAAAATTAGTTTAGAAAAATCCACGCCTCTTATGAAAAAATTAGTTTAGAAAAATCCACGCCTCTTATGAAAAAATTAGTTTAGAAAAATCCACGCCTCTTATGAAAAAATTAGTTTAGAAAAATCCACGCCTCTTATGAAAAAATTAGTTTAGAAAAATCCACGCCTCTTATGAAAAAATTAGTTTAGAAAAATCCACGCCTCTTATGAAAAAATTAGTTTAGAAAAATCCACGCCTCTTATGAAAAAATTACTTTAGAAAAATCCACGCCTCTTATGAAAAAAATACTTTAGAAAATTCCACGCCTCTTATGGAAAAACTAGTTTAGAAAAATCAACGCCTCTTATGAAAAAATTAGTTTAGAAAAATCCACGCCTCTTTTGAAAAAATTAGTTTAGAAAAATCCACGCCTCTTATGAAAAAATTACTTTAGAAAAATCCACGATTCTTTTAGACCTTGAAAAAATTATTTAGAAAATCCACGCCTCTTGTAGACCTCAAAAAATCATCTTATAGTCTTTAAAAATATGTATTTAAAAAATGTAGGCCTATTTTTGTTTTTTTACAAAATCCACGCGCCAGGAAAGGGATCTTCCTCAGTGATATCCCTCGCTTAGTGATATCCCCCCTTCTGCTCCAATTTTGAAAATCATATGTATGCAAAGCAGCTGTAAAAATAAATTAAATTAACTAACAATCCAATGCTCTCTTTACAACAATACTAGTCACTAGCTGGTGACGACCACATCAGAATCCGAACCCGACTTACGTTGTGTAGGATATCGAAATTGTTTACTGAACATGCCATCGCCGTATTTATCCTGACTCAATACCATAAATTCATATTCGCGACCCGGTAGCAAATGTGGAATGGTGGCTTCCATGACATTCTTTTGGATGATACGCATTGTACGCCATTCCTGGGCATCCGCCAAACGATACCAGACCGTGTATTCGAGGTTGGGCCGCAAATATCCTGTAAATGAAAAACAAAAGCGAAAGATATAGTGAGTGTGAGGTAAATGCAAAAAAAAAAAACAGTGTCATTTAAAAAAGGATACACCAGGATACTAACTCCTCTCTATACATGCAAAGTGTAAAAATATCCGATGTTGTGTTTTTCGTTTCATGTTTGTGTGAGGATTTGTTTTTGTGTATGTGTGTAAATAAAGTGTAAATGTATTCGCTTCATATATTTTTGTTGGTGTTGTTGTATTTTTGCAAATAATTGTTGTTTATGAAATGAAAATGAAATTCAGTATGGAGGTGTGTTGTTGTTTTTGTAATTGTTCTATGCTGAGGCGAGAATACAGTTGGCGGTTGGAGGTGGAGCTGCCTGGTATGCATCAACGGAATCTCAGTAATTTTTTTTATTGTAAGTGAATTGTAATAATTGCAATTTTTTTTATTTTCATTTTCTTTGGGAATGTTGTAGATTTTTTTTTGTATTATATCCATTGAGGTGAAAGTGGGTTGTCATAATGTTTGAAACATTATATAGGGGGATAATAAAATTATACCAAATATTAGTGGTCTTAATGACAGACCGTTGGTCTTCAAAAATTGGAAAATACAGGGTATCTGCTAACGAAAAATGTGTCAGTCCTATCCCATGACTTCCACAGGGTAGGGCATCTCAAATTCGTGGTAACCTAACTAATCAAAAATATTTATTCCATTTTATTTCTTATTTTTCCTCATTGAATGTTATATTATTTTATTTATATTTATTATTTTGTAGATTAAAATTTTGCACTTGCACTCATAAAAATTCAAGGTTCAGTTATATGTGCAAAATAAATTTGTATAAAAAGCTTACCGGTAGCAGTCAGATAGATATTTGCTGAATACTTTAGTCATTTTGATAATTAAATTTATTTATAATTGTGTGTGTGAATTCTGCGTACATTCAACAAATAAATAAATAAAATTTTAACAAATTTATTTAAATTGGAAATAATGAATAAATTTTCGAAGCAGAAATTGGTCAATGGTTTTTCAGGAAAAATAAAAATTATAAAAGAATTCGAGAATAAAAATATTTTTTTAATAAATCCACACCAATGATAGGGAAAAAAATATTTATACCCTTCATCACAATGTGGTCCAGGGTATTATGTCTTCGTGCATATGTTTGTAACAGGCAAAAGGAACGATATATATATATATATATATATATATTTTCGTCCGGTTTTAGGTAAATAGTGCACCAAAGTCCCTTTCTATCCTTCGATTTGCACGAAATTTGGCACGGAATACTAAATTAAGTGTAGAATGATGTATGTTAAATTTCGGGGAAATCGGTTCAGATTTCGATATAGGTCCCAAATATATTTTCGTCCGATTTTATGTAAATGGAACATCAAAGTCCCTATATATCCTTCGATTTGCACGAAATTTGACACAGCTCGTTTATTTGGCCCAAGGACCAACCCTATTGATATTGGGAAAAAATCGGTTCAGATTAAGATATAGCTCCCATATATCTTTTCGTCCGATTTAAAGTAAATAGTGCACCAAAGTAACTATATAGCATTCGATTTGTTCGAAATTTGGCATAGCGTACTGAATTGGGTCTAGAGTGACGTAAGTTTCATGAAAATCGGTTCAGATTTAGATATAGCTCCCATATATATTTTCGTTCGATTTTATGTAAATGGTGCATCAAAGTCTTCGATTTACACGAAATTTGGCATGGCGTACTAAATTAAGTGTAGAATGATGTATGTTAAATTGTAGGAAAATCGGTTCAGATTTCGATATTGCTCCCATATATATTTTTGTCCGATTTTATGTAAGTGGTGCATCAAAGTCGTTATATATCCTTCGATTTGCACGAAAATTTTCACAGCTTTATTTGGCTCAAGGACGAACCCTATTGAAAAATCGGTTCAGATTATGTCAGATAATGTTCGCCTGATTTAAGGTAAATGGTGCACCAAAGTACCTATATAGCATTTGATTTGCTCGAAATTTGGCATAGCGTACTGAATTACGTCTAGAGTGATGTGTGTTAAGATTCGTGAAAATCGGTTCAGATTTTGATATAGCTCCCATATATATTTTCGTCCGATTTTAGGTAAACAGTTCACCAAAGTCCCTCTATATCCTTCGATTTGCACGAAATTTGGCATGGCGTACTAAATTAAGTGCAGAATGATGTTAGTAAATTTCGGGAAAATCGGTTCAGATTTCGATATAGCTCCCATATATAGATTCGTCCGATTTAAGGTAAATGGTGTATCAACGTCCCTATGTATCCTTCGATTTCACGAAATTTGACACAGCTCATTTATTTCGCCCTATTGAAATTGGGAAAAATCGGTTCAGATTAAAATATAGCTCCGATATATCTTTTCGTCTGATTTAAGGTAAATGGTGCATCAAAGTCCCTATATATTCTTCGATTTACACGAAATTTTGCATGGCGTACTAAATTAAGTGTAGAATGATGTATGGTAAATTTCGGGAAAATCAGTTCAGATTTCGATATAGCTCCCACGTATATTTTCGATTTGCACGAAATTTTGCACAGCTCATTTATTTGGCACAAGGACGAACCCTATTGAAATTGGAAATAATCGGTTCAGATTAAGATATAGCTTCTATATATATATATCTTTGCGACCGATTTAAGGTAAATGGTGCACCAAAGTACCTATATAGCTTTCTATTTGCTCGAATTTGGCATGAATTGCGTCTAGAATGATGTGTGCTAAGTTTCGTGAAAATTGGTTCAGATTTAGATATAGATCCCATATATATTTTCGTCCGACTGTACATAAATTGTGCACCACACTCCTAATGTTTGTCCGATTAACACGAAATTTTGCGCAACGTATCAAATTGAGACTTGAATGACGTTATTGGGTTTGGTTGAAACTGGTGCAGATGCAGCCATAGCTTCCATAGGTATTTTGGAAGGGTGTTTGATTGAAATTAAATTTTTAACAGTGCGGCGCACAGTGGTCCAAGACGCCAATCTAGCTGGAAAAAAGTCATAACTTCTCTTCGGAAGCAGCTAGAAGTATGAAATTTTGGAATTATGCATTTCTTATTGAAAGCATTCTTTGTACCAAAAATGGGCGTTGTAGGTAAAATAGTCGTGGAAATTTTTATGACATTTGAAAGAATATGAATATCTATGTATTAATTTAGAGGTGCCGAATATCCATTTTGGCAATATGTTGAAGGACGACTCGAGTTTCGGGCACCTCGTGCTCAGATTGAAAATATGTATATTTAAAAATTTCTAAAATAAAAATTTCTTTGTAATAATTGCGAAATTTTCAGTAAAAGTTTCAAATTTAACATATAACAAAGGAGACCCCACCACCAATAGATATATTGCACTAATATACAAAACAACATAAGAATATTAATATATATTTAAAATAAAAATCATTTATTTAAATCATTCTACATCTACCTGTATGAAAGGATCTAAAAGTAAGGAAATATCTTCATCACCTAATATTCCTTCATTTCGAGAGCTAACAAATGGCTTTGGTGAAAAAGATGAGATTAATGGATCTGATGAGGCACTTCTGCTGTTACATCGGATAACTTGATTCCATTACTTGGGTAGCACTTTTCTTTAGCTTCTAAAATTCTATAATATGATGGGTATATATCCGCGTTACGGATCTTAGCACCAGCACGCATCGAATTATAACTTGCTTTTGTATATTTTCCATCGATAAACAGACGTAATGCTTCTTCATCTGTATATGGTACTGGTTCCTAAGATTATGCATTAACATTTTTTTTAAATTTTAGTTGCTCTCGTTGGAGATTGATTTATGTTCTTTAGAATCGCGGCAGCATTCCTCTTGCCAGACTTATAAAGACTAACGCCAGCAGCGAAAATTAGTTTCTCGGGTGAACATTCACTAACTAAAGTCGACACTTCCAAACGCTTCCCTTTTTCAGATTTACCTTAAAAATCAGATCGAGGATCCCTAAATCCTGTGGAATTTTAATCACGTTTTCAGAAGGAAGACCAAATACTCCATTTAACCAAATTTTATTAGAGTCTTCAAAATATTTCTTTGATCTTTTTGCTTTTATCCACCTTTTGTTAATTGAATACGTTAATCTTTGTACAGCTAACACAACATTATTGCAATAATCATCTGTTTTAGTTTTCTGTAACCCACTCTTAGCAAAAAAATAGCTAATGACAGCTTTTACACTTTCTTTGCTTTCCATTTCGGCAACCCACACATTATATACTTCTCTCCGTGTTATGGGTATGTTATCTATATATGTATATAAAAAGTTTACCGGTCAATAATTGCAGCTATTTCTTTTTTTCATCTAAAGTGGACACCACACAGATAAACAGGACACAATTCATTTCACGGGAATCCACGGGAATCCTATTTAAAAGTTACTCTAAAAACCATAAACTGCTAAATTTTGCTACACAAAACACATATTTTCTCTTACCAATTATTTTGCACACAGAACATTTAAATTCGACATTTATTTACAATATAGCTTAAACATACCTGACATGATGCAATGTAAAAAATTACGACAAAATTTGTTCTTCTTTGATGTTACGAACAGTTCAAATGTGATGCTGGCAAGCGACAGGCCTGCTAAAACAACAGTGATAATGCAATTGTTCATTTCCAAAACATCATAACAAAGCAAATTAGAAAAAAAAAACAAAAAAACTGATACACAGTTATGAACAGTGGACTGTTATCTAACGACTACCAAACAAATTATGTGAAAATTGAAACATAAAAAAATTGACTTTTTTCCAGCTTGATTGGCATCTTGGACCACTGTGCGGCGTAGCGACTCTATATTTTGTTATAAATAGTTTTCCATAAATGTATCCCATTGTGCGCAGACGACTCTAAATCTGCCTGAATGAAGTTAAATGTATCATAGGTTGCAGAAAGACATGAGTATGTTCCTTCGGGGGAACATTGACATGCAATTGTAAGGGTCCAATATACCCAAAGTGGTGAAGGGTATCATATAGTCGGCCCAGTTCGACTTAACTACTTTCCTTACTGGTTTTTAATAAATCCACCCCTATGATAGGGCGGGCAACAAAAATATTTTTTAATGAATCCACGCCTATGATAGGACAAGAAAAATATATTTTAATGATAGGACAAGAAAAATATTTTTAATAAATCCACGCCTATGATAGGGCAAGAAAAATATGTTTAATAAATTCATGCCACTTTTGGTATACCAAAAATATTCTTTAAAATGTATCTATTTATAAATTTAATCCTTTATTTATTATCTCTGCCAATAAACATATTTGTGACAATTAAATTGAAATACATATTTTCTTCAATTATTTATTAACTTTTAGAGAAAATCCATATGTTTATACAAATAAACCTATTAAAAGATATATACAGGGACGTAGCAAAGGCTGGTCCGCCTTTTACAAAGTTTTTGTTTCTAAGTTTAGAAAAAAATTCCCATGCGATACGTCCCTGTTAAATTATTATCTCAATATTTCATATTGAAATTCTTGACCAAATAAATTCAAATAAAAACCGCCTTCTGGTCATTTTGGTCTCGATCCCATGATACGAGTCCAATGACACAAATGAGTTCATTCCCTGGCATTAATCACATTAAGATTGTTATAAAGTCCATCAATGCAATTCAATTTCAATGAAGTTGAAGGAAAACCAAACCAGGAAATCCTTTGACACAAAAGCACACACTCATACACACACATATACACCGACACAAATCTTATTTTATCTGTAAGGCATTTAACGCAAAACTTCCACAGAGATTATTAAACAAAAAGACAAAAAGAAAGAAGAATTATGTTTCGATTTTCAGATGATTAAGCAATTAAATATAATCCCTTATTTTGAAATAAAAGGCAGATCGAACGACGAACGGACGTAGAGTAGGACGTATGGACGGACGGACGGATGCAAATATCTAATGATGATGACAATGGCATAAAAGTATATTCCTAATCACTTTAATTTATTTACAATAGGATATGAACTCAACTCACCGAATATCATTGTGATAGACTTATGGTATATTTTAGTTACGGATTAAAAATTTGCGAACGAAGAGGCCAGGTGGAGTAATTGATAAGAAAATTAATTTAAATTATAACAAATAAATAAAGAAACTTGGAATTATTAGAGAATATTTTTCAAGGGCCAAAAGAGGGTCGCAAATATTAAAGAGGAGATATTAAAGAATCTTTTTTTCAACAGGGCCATCTAAGGCGTGGATTTATTAAAAAAGGTTTTTTGCAACAGGGTCATCTAAGGCGTGGATTTATTAAAGAAGATTTTTTCAGGGATCATCCAAGGCGTGGATTTATTAAAGAAGATTTTTTCAGGGATCATCCAAGGCGTGGATTTATTAAAGAAGATTTTTTTGCAACAGGGTCATCTAAGGCGTGGATTTATAAAAGATTTTTTTGCAACAGGGTCATCTAAGGCGTGGATTTATTAAAGAAGATTTTTTTGCAACAGGGTCATCTAAGGCGTGGATTTATTAAAGAAGATTTTTTTCAACAGGGTCATCTAAGGTGTGGATTTATTAAAGAAGATTTTTTTGCAACAGGGTCATCTAAGGCGTGGATTTATTAAAGAAGATTTTTTCAACAGGGTTATCTAAGGCGTGGATTTATTAAAGAAGATTTTTTCAACAGGGTCATCTAAGGCGTGGATTTATTAAAGAAGATTTTTTCAACAGGGTCATCTAAGGCGTGGATTTATTAAAGAAGATTTTTTCAACAGGGTCATCTAAGGCGTGGATTTATTAAAGAAGATTTTTTCAACAGGGTCATCTAAGGCGTGGATTTATTAAAGAAGATTTTTTCAACAGGGTCATCTAAGGCGTGGATTTATTAAAGAAGATTTTTTCAACAGGGTCATCTAAGGCGTGGATTTATTAAAGAAGATTTTTTCAACAGGGTCATCTAAGGCGTGGATTTATTAAAGAAGATTTTTTCAACAGGGTCATCTAAGGCGTGGATTTATTAAAGAAGATTTTTTCAACAGGGTCATCTAAGGCGTGGATTTATTAAAGAAGATTTTTTCAACAGGGTCATCTAAGGCGTGGATTTATTAAAGAAGATTTTTTCAACAGGGTCATCTAAGGCGTGGATTTATTAAAGAAGATTTTTTCAACAGGGTCATCTAAGGCGTGGATTTATTAAAGAAGATTTTTTCAACAGGGTCATCTAAGGCGTGGATTTATTAAAGAAGATTTTTTCAACAGGGTCATCTAAGGCGTGGATTTATTAAAGAAGATTTTTTCAACAGGGTCATCTAAGGCGTGGATTTATTAAAGAAGATTTTTTCAACAGGGTCATCTAAGGCGTGGATTTATTTACCATTTCAAACAAAATAAATGCATGAATATATGTTCCGAAATATTTTAAATGTGATTTTTTTTTACATTCCACTACCTATTTTTGAATAAACAAACACGACAGCATCATATTTACTTCGTAAACAGGTCTTTTCATGCCAAATAAGCAAAAACACAGAACCACAACAGAACCAACAATAAAATGAAAATGCATATTCCAATATGTAAAAAAATATGAACAATTCATTTTGTGACACATCAGCATTTTTTTGCTACATTTCCACCCTCTACCTCCCGTCCGCACTTACTTTCCAGAGGCATTCAACCACCGAACACAAACAATATTACTTGGGGCATGAAAGCAAAATGCCGGTATGCCATTTTTTTTAACAGACTACCATATTTTTATGCGACATGTAAAAAAGTGGGAAGGGCTCTGCACAGCTGGCAGTGGAGTCTGCCTTCTTAACATGAGGTGGTCATCAGGCCCTTAAATTATGCATATTTTATACAAATGCACACTCTCACACACATGTTTTGACAAATGCAACTGCCAAATTTGTTATTCAAATATGAATTTTATGCTGTATTAGCTATGGATGTTTTTTTTAGGGATGGATGCCCTTCAGGCCGGTGAATTTGTCCATGCATAAAATATTTTTGGACTTGCAGCCCTTACCTGGTTGCCATCTTATGGTTATCGAAGTCTCCGTACTATTAGCTGTCAAATTATAAGGTGGCCTGGGTGCAATATTCTCGATCATCAATTCCGTTTCGGCTGTTATTGTAGCTGCCTCATTGGTTGCCACACACTCGTAAATACCACGATCTGCCTCAGTAAGGCCAGTCAATGTTGACCCCGTTGAAAAAATCTTCTTTAATAAATCCACGCCTTAGCTGACCCCGTTGAAAAAATCTTCTTTAATAAATCCACGCCTTAGATGACCCGTTAAAAAAATCTTCTTTAATAAATCCACGCCTTAGATGACCCCGTTGAAAAAATCTTCTTTAATAAATCCACGCCTTAGATGACCCCGTTGAAAAAATCTTCTTTAATAAATCCACGCCTTAGATGACCCCGTTGAAAAAATCTTCTTTAATAAATCCACGCCTTAGATGACCCCGTTGAAAAAATCTTCTTTAATAAATCCACGCCTTAGATGACCCCGTTGAAAAAATCTTCTTTAATAAATCCACGCCTTAGATGACCCCGTTGAAAAAATCTTCTTTAATAAATCCACGCCTTAGATGACCCCGTTGAAAAAATCTTCTTTAATAAATCCACGCCTTAGATGACCCCGTTGAAAAAATCTTCTTTAATAAATCCACGCCTTAGATGACCCCGTTGAAAAAATCTTCTTTAATAAATCCACGCCTTAGATGACCCCGTTGAAAAAATCTTCTTTAATAAATCCACGCCTTAGATGACCCCGTTGAAAAAATCTTCTTTAATAAATCCACGACCCCGTTGAAAAAATCTTCTTTAATAAATCCACGCCTTAGATGACCCCGTTGAAAAAATCTTCTTTAATAAATCCACGCCTTAGATGACCCCGTTGAAAAAATCTTCTTTAATAAATCCACGCCTTAGATGACCCCGTTGAAAAAATCTTCTTTAATAAATCCACGCCTTAGATGACCCCGTTGAAAAAATCTTCTTTAATAAATCCACGCCTTAGATGACCCCGTTGAAAAAATCTTCTTTAATAAATCCACGCCTTAGATGACCCCGTTGAAAAAATCTTCTTTAATAAATCCACGCCTTAGATGACCCCGTTGAAAAAATCTTCTTTAATAAATCCACGCCTTAGATGACCCCGTTGAAAAAATCTTCTTTAATAAATCCACGCCTTAGATGACCCCGTTGAAAAAAATATTCTTTAATAAATCCACGCCTTAGATGACCCCGTTGAAAAAATCTTCTTTAATAAATCCACGCCTTAGATGACCCCGTTGAAAAAATCTTCTTTAATAAATCCACGCCTTAGATGACCCCGTTGAAAAAATCTTCTTTAATAAATCCACGCCTTAGATGACCCCGTTGAAAAAATCTTCTTTAATAAATCCACGCCTCCGTTGGCCCTTGAAAAATATTCTTTAATAAATCCACGCCTCAGTTGGCCCTTGAAAAATATTCTTTAATAAATCCACGACCCTTGAAAAAGTTGGTAAATATGATGCCCGTGTTTGTTTAAAAATCTTCTTTAATAAATCCATGACCCCGTTGAAAAAATCTTCATATATTCCTTGAAAAATCTTTGAAATAAATAAATCCACGCCTAGATGACCCCGTTGAAAAAATCTTCTTTAATAAATTGAAAAAATCTTCTTTAATAAATCCACGCCTTGGATGATCCCTGAAAAAATCTTCTTTAATAAATCCACGCCTTAGATGACCCCGTTGAAAAAATCTTCTTTAATAAATCCACTCCTCAGATGACCCCGTTGAAAAAATCTTCTTTAATAAATCCACGCCTTAGATGACCCCGTTGAAAAAATCTTCTTTAATAAATCCACGCCTTAGATGACCCCGTTGAAAAAATCTTCTTTAATAAATCCACGCCTTAGATGACCCCGTTGAAAAAATCTTCTTTAATAAATCCACGCCTTAGATGACGCCTTAGATTGAAAAAATCTTCTTTAATAAATCCACGCCTTAGATGACCCCGTTGAAAAAATCTTCTTTAATAAATCCACGCCTTAGATGACCCCGTTGAAAAAATCTTCTTTAATAAATCCACGCCTTAGATGACCCCGTTGAAAAAATCTTCTTTAATAAATCCACGCCTTAGATGATGAAAAAATCTTCTTTAATAAATCCACGCCTTAGATGACCCCGTTGAAAAAATCTTCTTTAATAAATCCACGCCTTAGATGACCCCGTTGAAAAAATCTTCTTTAATAAATCCACGCCTTAGATGACCCCGTTGAAAAAATCTTCTTTAATCTCTTTAACAAATTTGAAAATCCTTCTCAATAGAAACATCTTCAATTAAAATCCGAGAAAAGTTCGCCTTCTTTTCACAAAAATATTAACAAAATGTTAACAAAGATTTCTCATGTCATCTGAATAACCATTCAATTATGGCTAGTTTATGCATTGATTTTAATGAGCTTTTGGATAATGTCTTTGGAATCCTTTTGAATACTGCAGCAGAATAATAACACAACCACCCAACCCTCCTCCCAAAAATACTGAATCGACAACATTGCTATCGAATGGCATATCCCAAAATTTGGTTAATTCCAAAGTATTGTATGAGAATGCTGAGAGCATTTCATACATTTACAAAATTACTCCGGTAGGAGTTAACGCTTTAAAACCAGGACACCAACTGAAAATGAAAAATGTCCCTTTTACGGGATACTCGGGGGACAAATATCTCTGTATTGTGCATAAAGGTACATCGTGTGCGTGGCATATGAATAACAAAGTATTGCTTTATGACTCAATGGACGACCAGTCAGTCAGTATATATCATTGGGCCACATGACCGAAATAAAGTTGCACTTATCTCAAAAATATTGTTTTGCTTGTTTTGTGGTCCGATGAATGCGTTTGCATTAATATTCTGCCGACACACACCTGCCAATTTTGTAGCTATTATGATGATTGTTGCCACTTACAGTGAGTGTGTGAGTATGCACATATGCTTGCGTGTGTGTCATCTTCTTCAATACATGTACAACAATTTTATGTTTGAAAATACATATAAAACGTAATGCTATACAATGGAACGGAACGGAATCAACAAAAGTATAATAATCTGCCATAAGTATATATCTTTGGAGGGTATATAAAATATATGCATACAGATACTCACGTATATATGCAGAAACGTATTAATATTTGCATATACGTGAATACTGTATATGGGATAATACATACTGCCGTATTTGAGAACAGACTGATGTCCATATAACTCACGTATATGAACAAAATATTTTCTTCCAAAATCTTTAAAACTCCACGCCTCTCTTGGTATATGGAAAAAATATTTTCTTCCAAAATCTTTAAAAATCCACGCCTCTCTTGGTATATGGAAAAAATATTTTCTTCCAAAATCTTTAAAAATCCACGCCTTTCTTGGTATATGGACAAAATATTTTCTTCCAAAATCTTTAAAAATCCACGCCTCTCTTGGTATATGGAAAAAATATTTTCTTCCAAAATCTTTAAAAATCCACGCCTCTCTTGGTATATGGAAAAAATATTTTCTTCCAAAATCTTTAAAAATCGACGCCTCTCTTGGTATTAGGAAAAAAAATGTTCTTCCAAAATCTTAAAAAATCCACGCCTCTGTTGGTATATGGAAAAAATTCTTTCTTTAAAAATCCACGCCTCTGTTGGTATATGGAAAAAAATTCTTTCTTTAAAAATCCACGCCTCTGTTGGTATATGGAAAAAATATTTTCTTTAAAAATCCACGCCTCTGTTGGTATATGGAAAAAATATTTTCTTTACAAATCCACGCCTCTGTTAGTATATGGAAAAAAATATTTTCTTTAAAAATCCACGCCTCTGTTGGTATATGAAAAAAAAAAGATTTTCTTTAAAAATCCACGCCTATGTTGGTATATGAAAAAAATATTTTCTTTAAAAATCCACGCCTCTGTTGGTATATGGGAAAAAATATTTTTTTTTTAAATCCACGCCTCTGTTGGTATAGAGGAAAAAATTCTTTCTTTAAAAATCCACGCCTCTGTTGGTGTATGGAAAAAAATTCTTTCTTTAAAAATCCACGCCTCTGTTGGTATATGGAAAAAAATTCTTTCTTTAAAAATCCACGCCTCTGTTGGTATATGGAAAAAAATTCTTTCTTTAAAAATCCACGCCTCTGTTGGTATATGGCAAAAAAATTCTTTCTTTAAAAATCCACGCCTCTGTTGGTATATGAAAAAAAAAGATTTTCTTTAAAAATCCAGCCTCTGTTGGTATATGAAAAAAAAAAAGATTTTCTTTAAAAATCCACGCCTCTGGCCTTGTTGTTGTTCGAAAAAATTTTCTTTAAAAAATCCACGCCTCTGGCCTTGTTGTTGTTTGATTTTTTTTTAAATCCACGCCTCTGTTGGTATAGAGAAAAAAATTTCTTTTCTTTAAAAATCCCCGCCTCTGTTGGTATATGGGAAAAAATATTTTCTTTAAAAATCCACGCCTCTGTTGATGGCTGCTTCAAAAAAATTATTTTAAAAATCCACGCCTCTGTTGATGGCTGCTTCAAAAAAATTATTTTAAAAATCCACGCCTCTGTTGGTATATGGGAAAAAATATTTTTTTTTAAATTCACGCCTCTGTTGGTATAGAGAAAAAAATTTCTTTTCTTTAAAAATCCCCGCCTCTGTTGGGATATGGAAAAAAGTATTTTCTTTAAAAATCCACGCCTCTGTTGGTATATGGAAAAAAATATTTTCTTTAAAAATCCACGCCTCTGTTGGTATATGGAAAAAAATATTTTCTTTAAAAATCCACGCCTCTATTGGTATATGGAAAAAAATATTTTCTTTAAAAATCCACGCCTCTGTTGGTATATGGAAAGAAATATTTTCTTTAAAAATCCACGCCTCTGTTGGTATATGGAAAAAAACATTTTCTTTAAAAATCCACGCCGCTGTTGATGGCTGCTTATTTTCTTTAAAAATCCACGCCTCTGTTGGTATATGAAAAAAAATATTTTCTAAAAATTTAAGCTTCTGGTGGACTACCAAAAAAATATATTTTTGAAATTTAAGCCTCTACCGGACCACCAAAATATATTTTTTAAAAATCTACCCGTTTGGCGGACCTTAAAAAATATATTTAAGAAATCTAAGTCTCTGCCGGACCATTATCAAAAATTTTTTAAAAATCCACGTCTCTGTATGACTACCACTTTTTTATCTACTCGTCTGTCGGACTACCAACGAATATTTATTTAAAATCTACGCTTCTGCTGGACCACCAAAAAATATTTTTTTAAAAAAACTAAGCAGGATCTTAAAAAATGTTTAAAATTCTACGTCTTAGCTGGTCATTAAAAAATGATATTTAAATTTACGCCTCAGCTGTCCCTTGAAAAAGTTTATTTAAAAATCTACGCCTAAGATGGTCATTCAAAAATGATTATTTAAATTCTATGTAGTTCAAGTAGATCAGCACAATTCACCTGGCTAACTATAGTTTACCTGGCTCATTATAATTCACTTGTTTCAATATAGTTCACTTGTGTCTATATAGTTCAACTGCTCACTATAGTTCACATGGGCCATTATAGTTCAGATGTGCCACTGTTGCTCACATGGCTCACTATAGTACACATGGCTCACTATAGTTCACATGGCTCACTATAGTTCACATGGCTCACTATAGTTCACATGGCTCACTATAGTTCACATGGCTCACTATAGTTCACATGGCTCACTATAGTTCACATGGCTCACTATAGTTCACATGGCTCACTATAGTTCACATGGCTCACTATTGTTCACAGGGCTCACTATTGTTCACAGGGCTCACTATTGTTCAGAGGGCTCACTATTGTTCAGAGGGCTCACTATTGTTCAGAGGGCTCACTATAGTTCACATGGCTCACTATAGTTCAAATAGCTCACTATAGTTCACCTAGCTCACTATAGTTCCCATGGCTCGATATAGTTCACATGGGTCACTGTAGATCACATGGCTCACTATAGTTCACTGACTGAGGGTCACATGGTTCATTATATTTCAATTTGCTCACTATAATTCACCTGGATCACTGGAGTTCTCTATAGTCCCTTTGGGTCACTTTAGAACTCCTGATTCACTACAATACCCACTATAGTTAAAATGGGTTCAATGTAAATCAGATGGTGCCACATAGTTCAATCGACACAAAGCAGTTCCTTCGAGTCACTGTAGATCTACTCAACCGCTACTGTTCTCCTGAACTGCTACTGGAGATCCCCATTCAAAAATCACTTAAAATTTGTCCACGATTCTTTATACCGAAATGACCCATAACCAAACATTGTATATCCTCCCATCCTATACACACAAATATATCCCCAAATTATATATCTTAAAAATTACATATATACGCACATTCGACTACCACAATTGTTATGTGTTTTTTTGGGGGAGGGAGTGATGTGGTTCGTACTTACCCTTTTCCAATCAATTGATGGATGATTACTGCCATCTCGATCGATGGCCTGGCATGTCATGTGTACCGATTCGCCTAATTTTTGTATGTAAATTGCTTTTGGTGTTATTGTGAATATTGGTGGTCGCAAAACAATTACATTAATGACAGGAGATGGCCCGTCCGTGCCCAGATCATTGTATGGCGTGCACGTATAACTGCCAGCATGTGATTCATCTACTTTGGAAAAGAACAAACTGCCATTCATTTTATAGAAGACTCCCTGAAAGCAAACCGAAACAACAATAACAACGAGGACGACGACAATGAGAACAACAATGGCATCAATAATATCCACAACAAAACATTAAAACCATGGAACGACCATTGGTTGCACAATCATCAACACACATACATGGTCATCATCATCAGCTTTACTCAACTCATCATCCTCGGTAAACATAACCTCAACATTGTAGTGGACTAGATAGAAAAAAAAATGAACGAACAGAAACAACAACAACCAAGATAAAGGAAATGACATCCTCTTGCTCATACACAAAGGAGTCATAATTGTTCAACATTGAGGTGTATGTATGGTTACTTGGTTTGTGGGTGGATACGAGGCGGAGGAGGTGAGCAATGAGCTTGTGTCAGTAGAGTTATGATTATGGCACGCATGATGAAACAACCAACAACCGTTCCATGGCAGCAATTGCTTACAGGCACATTATATGAATCGAAGAGTAGGCCATCTTTTTCCCATCTTAGATTCTTCAGCGGTGGATTAGCGCGAAAATGACAATCAAGTACAGCCGGCTGACCATACGGCAAATAAACCTCAGGTGGTGCATAAATCACTTTGGCCTTATCTGGAAAAAAGGGGGGAAAAATAACAACGAAAACATAGCACGCCATAGATGAGTTGGCATCATTGTGCGAGGAGAGAGAGAGATCAAGAACACACGCCTTGATGGATAGCTATGTGGCAAGAAATATTAATTTACCAATGAAGGCGGGAGGAATTTCGTTGATGGGAGTGAAGTAGGCGGTAGTTGGGAACAGAATATATTGATTTATTTAAACTAGGAGATTCGCAAAGGCAACGTTCGGTCCAACATTCAATTTAACTACCTAATACAGCTTACTTTATAGTTCATCTGGCTCACCGTAATTCTCCTTGCTCTCTGTAGTCCTCCTGCCTCTCTACAGTTCTTCTGACTCACATGGATCACCTGGCTCACTACAGTTCATCGAGACTTACATACAGCAGTTCTCATGGTTCACTATAATTCACATAGTTCACTATAATTTGCGTAGCTTACTATAGTTCACATAGCTCACTATAGTCAACATAGCTCACTTTAGTTCATATGACTCTTTATAGTTCAAATGTCTCACTATAGTTCCCTGAATTTTCACAGTTCTCCTGAATCTCTATAGTTCACCTGGCTCACTACAGTTCATTGTGGCTTGTAATACATCACCAGGCTTACAATGGTTCTTCTGGTTTACTATAGTTCTTCTAATTCCCTATAGTTCACATGGCTCACTATAGTTCACATGGCTCACTATAGTCCACATGGCTCACTATAGTTCAAATAGCTCACTGTACTCCACATGGCTCACTACAGTTCACATGGCATGTGAATAGTTCACATAGCTCAGTATAATTCACATAGCTCACTATAGTTCACATGGCTCACTATAGTTCACATGACTCACTATAGTTCACATGGCTCACTATTGTTCACATATATCCCTATAGTTCCTCTGGTTCACAACAGTTCACCTGGCTCACTATGCTTCATTATAGTCCATCGCTCACATGGCTCACTATAGTTCACATAGCTCACTATAGTTCACATAGCTCACTATAGTTCACATAGCTCACTATAGTTCAAATAGCTCACTATACTCCACATGGCTCACAATAGCTCACATGGTTTAGTATAATTCACATGGCTCACTATAGTTCACATGACTTACTATAGTTCACATGGCTTACTATTGTTCACATATATCCCTATAGTTCCTCTGGTTCACAACAGTTCACCTGGTTCATTCTAATTCACCAGTCTCATTATTGTGTACAAGCCTCATTACAGTTCACCTACTCACAATAGTTCACCTGGTTCTCAATAGTTCACCTGGCTCACTACAGTTGATGGGGCTCACAATGGTTAAACTAGTTAAATACAGTTCATCTTGATTCCTACAGTTCATTTGGCTCACTATATTTCATCACATTCACTATAAGAATTCAGGCTCAGTATAGTATAATATAGGTTACTTATCTCACTACAGTTGACCTGGCTCGGCACAGTTCATCTGCCTCGATATTGTTCATCTCAGTCTATTTTGCTTATTATACCTGTCTCAATTAATATGGTTCATTACAGTCCATCTGACTCAGTATAATCTCCTGTCTCCCTAAAATTCTCCAGATTTACAAAAGTTCACTTGGTCCACTATAGTTCACCGGACCCACCAAAGTTCCTGAAGACCTCACTGTGACCCTTGACTCCACAAAGTGCATAAATATTTTCCTATGCTCATTTCATTGCACTTTCTATGCCGCTCTCTTCCTCCCAAAAATCCCTCCTTCCCCCTCCCTCTCTCCTCTTCATCAACCCACGCTTACTTACACTGTATATTTAGATATGCCTTCGCTGTTTGGATTTCATCATCATTACTTCGTACCGAACATTCATATTCGCCATTATCGCTCATCATTGTCGGATCAATACTCAGGCTACCCTGGGGACTGAGACGAGAGCGACGCATCAAATCGGGTATCTCTTGTAAAATAACGCCATCCTTGTACCATGATGTCTCCGATGAATTGGGATATTTCATGACACAATGAAAGAATGCCGTCTGTCCTTCCATAATTGTCTGATTCACTGGGGGTATTTTTATTAGAGAACCACCTGCAGGACGATGCAGGTACAATTCATTGGTCATTGTGTATTGCGAGCAGTACATAGGAATAGAAGAAAAGTTCATTAGTTTGCTTATTGTAGTAGGAGTGTGTACAGATATTTACAGATGTGAGTGTATGACACTCACACATACATTCATGGGAATATAAGAAGTGACAAAACACGGATTCCATTGATTGTCATAAATTTAGATGCAAAAAATCTTAACCCATGATGTTTGTTAGTAGCAAACAAATGGCGAAAGAGGTGAAATTTCCATCCTGTCGATGTTCCTCTCACCTCTCTTCTTTTCTATTAATATATTTATTTTAATTTTTAAAAAAATCTATTACCAGTTACTTCTTATATTCCCATATATTTTTAAAATTAAAAAAAGTCATACCTTGCACTGAAAGATGATACCACGTTCCATTATTACGTATACTCGGTGTACGATTGGGAAAAACAATTTGGCAGTGATACCAACCCTGATCCGATTCACGAATTGATGTTAAATTTGCACTGGCTTTACCATATTCCTCATTATTGGTTATCAGATGCAGTCGTCCACTGTAGAGATCATTCGATGATGTTTCGCCTTCAAACCACGTAAAGATTCGTTTATCCTAGAAAATTGAGAAAAAATAAAATTACTTAAAAGTTCGTTCAGAAAATGTTGGTGTTGGATTAAAAATTCAGGTAATGGAGAAACACTTCTTTCTCAGTAATCACAGAAATTGGGAACTTTTATAGAGAATTGAATTCTCACATACATCACTATTGTTCATCTGACTTGCAATAGTTCACCTGACTCCCTAGAGTTCACGTAGCTACAATAGTTCACATGGTTCATCTGGCTCCCGGTAGTTGTCCTAGCCGAGTAAAGTAGACAAATACTTCCCATTTTCGCACTTGAATATTACGATGTGCAAAATTTGTATGTGAGGTATCGTGCAATAGGGAAAATGTTTTGCTTCTAAAAAAATTGAGATCTAAAAAGTTACATCGATCAGATAATTTGTTAATTCTTGTCATAGTACATATAGCTTCATTATCATGAAGACTAGGGGTATAAAATCATTGAAGTTTTCATTCATATATTCCTATATTTATATATTTTTTCACCCTCCGAAATGTCGAAATGCCAAATTACATCCCCTTCAAAGGAAAATCTCGTTAAAACATTCAAATGACACTAAAAAGAGCTTTCACATGTAGATAACCCCCATCTCTAATACACAGACTCTTCGATTTGAAATTACGACTAAAACATTTAAAAAACTGATAATGGGATGGGACCTTTATATTAGGACTATGTCAAAGTATCGTAAGATATATCCTATTTGCAATACCAAACATCATAGAAGTAGTATTAACATACTCGTATGTGCTGCATCGATGTAGCATTTTATTCTGTTCAACATTGTATTTATTTTGTGGAATGTCCGACTATGTCCGATGGGAACATGTTGGTCTAGAAATGTGAAATTTGGAATCAAAGTCAAAGGGTCAATGTTTTATATAATTTTCGGAAATTCGTACTAAAGATACACAAAAAATATAAAGATACAAAAAAAAAATCAATTGGTGTTTGATATTGTCAAAAATTAAAAAAAAACCAGTAAGGAAAGTTGTAAAGTCGGACGGGGCCGACTATATGATACCCTTCACCACTTTAGGTATATTCAACAGATGAATCCTAACAGACGTCGCATTTTTAAAGAACCAATAAAATGAAATTGGATCCATAAACATGTCATTCTGCAAACGATACTAAATTTTTCATTTGGTCAGATATAGAAGCTATATCTAAATCTGAACCGATTTTCCCGAAACTTAGCACACATCATTCTAGAGTTAATGGAATACGATACGCTAAATTTCGTGCAAATAGAAAAATATATAGGGACTTTGGTGGACCATTTACATTGAATCGGGCGAACCTATATATGGGAGCTATATCTAAATCTGAACCGATTTTCATGAAACTCAGCACACATCATTTTAGGCCTAATTCATTACGCTGTGCCAAATTTCGTTCAAATCGAAATATATATAGGGACTTTGGTGGACCATTTACATTGAATCGGGCGAACCTATATATGGGAGCTATATCTAAATCTGAACCGATTTTCATGAAACTCAGCTCACATAATTTTAGGCCTAATTCATTACGCTGTGCCAAATTTCGTGCAAATCGAAAGTTATATAGGGACTTTGGTGCACCATTTATATAAAATCGGACGAAACTATATATGGGAGCTATATCTAAATCTGAACCGATTTTCCTGAAACGCAGCACACATCATTCTAGGCCTAATTCATTACGATTTGCCAAATTTCGGAAGATTCGGAAGATATATAGGGACTTTTTACATTAAATCGGACGAATATATATATGGGAGCTATATCTAAATCTGAACCGATTTTTCCCAATTTCAATAGGGTTCGTCCTTGGGCCAAATAAGTGACATATGCCAAATTTCATTCAAATCGGATTATAAATGCGACCTATACTTTGTTCACAAAAATACATGGACAGACAGACAGACAGACAGACGGACAGACGGACGGACGGACGGACATGCATAAATCGACTTAAAAAGTGATTCTATGCATATTCTCAAAAGGAACCATGGGTCTATCTCGTTTCCTTTTGCCTGTTACAAACATATGCACAAAGACATAATACCCTGTACCACAGTGTGGTGAAGGGTATAAAAACAATTATTAACAATATTCTCTGTCATCGAAATTTATCACAGGAGGAACATTGAAACTATGTGCCAACATTTTTCTTAATTCGATGCCTCTTCGCGTAATACGCTGGTTGGGCTAGAACTTTGATCATACGGAAATGACGCGTGACGGATAACACTAGATTGCAGAAGGCGGTCATTTTGACCGTTTTTTTAATTTCAAGTACAAAAACAACTGTGCATATAATTACACTTTTTATACCCTTCACCACACTGTGGTACAGGGTATTATGTCTTTGTGCATATGTTTGTAACAGGCAAAAATAATCGAGATAGACCCATGGTTCCTTTTGAGAATATGCATAGAATCACTTTCTGAGTCGATTTATGCATGTCCGTCTGTCCGTCTGTCCGTCTGTAGATGTAAAATTGTAAACAAAGTACAGGTCGCATTTATGATCCGAATTGGATGAAATTTGGCACAGCTCATTTGTTTGGCCCAAGGACGAACCCTATTGAAATTGGGAAAAATCGGTTCAGATTTAGATATAGCTCCCATATATATCTTCGTCCGATTTAAGGTAAATTGTGTACCAAAGTCCCTACATATCTTTCGATTTGCACGAAATTTGGCACAGCGTAATGAATAAGGTCTAGACTGATGTATGCCAAATTTCGTGAAAATCGGTTCAGATTTAGATATAGCTCCCATATATATCTTCGTCCGATTTAAGGTAAATGGTGTACCAAAGTCCCTATATACCATTCGATTTGCACGAAAATTGGCACAGCGTAATGAATTAGGTCTAGAATGATGTGTGTAAAATTTCATAAAAATCGGTTCAGATTTAGATATAGCTCCCATATATATCTTCGTCCGATTTAAGGTAAATTGTGTACCAAAGTCCCTATATATCTTTCGATTTGCACGAAATTTGGCACAGCGTAATGAATAAGGTCTAGACTGATGTATGCCAAATTTCGTGAAAATCGGTTCAGATTTAGATACAGCTCCCATATATATCTTCGTCCGATTTAAGGTAAATGGTGTACCAAAGTCCCTATATACCATTCGATTTGCACGAAAATTGGCACAGCGTAATGAATTAGGTCTAGAATGATGTGTGTAAAATTTCATAAAAATCGGTTCAGATTTAGATATAGCTCCCATATATATCTTCGTCCGATTTAAGGTAAATTGTGTACCAAAGTCCCTATATATCTTTCGATTTGCACGAAATTTGGCACAGCGTAATGAATAAGGTCTAGACAGATGTATGCCAAGTTTCGTGAAAATCGGTTCAGATTTAGATATAGCTCCCATATATATCTTCGTCCGATTTAAGGTAAATTGTGTACCAAAGTCCCTATATATCTTTCGATTTCCACGAAATTCGGCACAGCGTAATGAATAAGGTCTAGACAGATGTATGCCAAGTTTCGTGAAAATCGGTTCAGATTTAGATATAGCTCCCATATATATCTTCGTCCGATTTAAGGTAAATTGTGTACCAAAGCCCCTATATATCTTTCGATTTGAACGAAATTTGGCACAGCGTAATGAATAAGGTCTAGAATGATGTGTGCAAAGTTTCGTGGCAATCAGTACAAATTTAGATTTAGCTCCCATATATAGCTTCGCCCGATTTTAGGTAAATAGTCCACTAAAGTCCCTGGAAATCTTTTGGTATAGCGTACTGAATTAAGTCTAGAATGATGTGTGCAAAGTTTCGTGACAAGCGGTCCAGATTTACATATAGCTCCCATATATATTTTCATCCGATATAAGGTAATTGGTGTACCAAAGACCCTATATATCTTTCGATTTGCACTAAATTGAGCATAGTGTACTGACATTTGAAACTGTAATAATTTGTGCTAAGTTTCATGAAAATCGGTTTAGATTTAGATATAGCTCCCATATATATTTTCGCCCGATTGTAGGTAATTGGTGCACCAAAGTCCCTGGAAATCTTTTCATTTGCACGAATTTTGGCATAGCGTACTGAATTAAGTCTAGAATGATGTTGCGAAGTTTCGTGAAAATCGGTTCAGATTTAGATATAGCTCCCATATATATTTTCGTCCGATTTTATGTAATTGGTGCACCAAAGTCCCTATATATCTTTCGATTTGCACGAATTTTGGTATAGGGTACGTTGGTCAGCTAAGTACTTCGCGTTGTTACAAGAGACATTTGTGTTTGAAAGGTTTTTTGTATAGAAGCAATAGCTTCTGGGGAGAATATCCCAACAGAAAACTAAGGGAACTTATGAGGATCAGTGGCGTGATCCGAAACTATAGTCTTCCCTACCTCACTAATAAATAGTTTTTTTTTTATAAAAACAAAATACAAATGGTATCCCAAATAAACCGCCAACACTACTGAATTAAGTCTAAAATGATGTTGCTAAGCTGGATACATATGTAGAATATACCCAAAGTGGTGAAGGGTATCATATAGTCGGCCCAGCCCGACTTTACTACTTTCCTTACTGGTTTTACTTTGGTGACTTTTTGTACCACATAGAATTACGTTTATTATAAAAAAGTCACCAAATAAAAAGCTGTGTCATTATATACACAGTTGTTTTTGTAATTCAAATTGAAAAAGGTCAAAATGACCGCCTTCGGCAATCTAGTGTTTAATATGTCTGAAATTTTCAAAATACCGAATGGTGTGGTCAACAGTGCGGTTCGTTTTAAAATTGTGAGCTGCAGAGCGACTAGAGAAATTATCCAATTTTATGTAAAATATCATTACGATTAATCCGTAATTCCAATGATTGATTTCAAATTATAATGGAATAGTCAGAATAGTTTTTTTCCTGGTCAAAAGTCTGCATGGTTTGAATGAAGTTTTCGTTATATAAAGGCTACCATAAATAGTATTGGTTCACTATTTATGGTAACATTTGATTAGAAGATTGTCTTCACTATAAGATTTAGAAATACCAAGCTCCGGCTAATACGGTTGACAGTGTGCAAAAAAACCTCAAAAACATACCGAATTTTGGGAATATATGTGGTATATACCGAAAATCATTTGAAATATGAGTAGTAGCAATATGTGTGCAAAATTCGTGATT